CCTCGGAAACCCAAGGAGGGGTCGCTATGAGTCGGGGCCGACTCGACGGCACATAACAACAACATATATATATATATATATATATATATATATATGTATCTCCACAATTAAAAAATGAAACAAGAAAAACCAATTAAAACAACCCAAAAACAGTAACAAAGCAAAAAGATGAAGCTGTGCTTGTAAAAAGTTTTCCAGACCCTTGAGCTAAATATGTGCTTTAACATAAAAATAGCAGGGGAGGAAAGGAAACAGGGAGAGCTGAGGGAGTAGTGTGCAACCCATTGCTAAGTCAGAAATTATTTTTAGATGCAGAGGTGTCAAACAATCAGCTTTAGCAGTTGCATCCTACACAGAATCACAGCTACTGACTTCACTTATGTATTTCTGCAATGACATTAGTAATGATGAGCTGGGAAGAAGGGCATGAACTGGCTGAAAGGTGGCCTCTGGGAGTGTCTTCCGTATCAAGTTAGAAGGTTGTCTTAGGGCAATAGTCTCTGAGGTTCCTCCAGTCTTTCAGACCAGTAAGTCTGGTTTTGTTTAATTTGAATTTTGTTCTATGTTTTTTTAATCCATTCTAACTGGGACCTTCTATTGTGGTCCTGATGAGAGTTGTTGGTAGTGGTAGCTGGGAACCATCTAGTTTTTCAATTGTCATGTTAGAGAAGGCTGTGGTTCATGTGGGCCATTGTTTCCTTGGACTAATCGCTTCCTTGAGTCTACAGCTTTCTTCATGCTCCTTTGCTCCAGGCACGAAAAGATCAGTGGTTGCTTCTTAGATGGCTGCTCACAAGCTTTTAAGACCCCAGATGCTACTCATCAGATCAAGTTGTAGAACATGACATTTATGAACTGTTTTTTGACAACTGACTTAAATGTCCCGAGACAATGGTGCTTAGCCTTCAAGTATAGGAATTCAGTCTTGATGTCTAAATAGTTTTTTATAACTGTGCCCCTATGTATTCTATTACATATATGCATATGCATGCAGCATTTATACATTGGTATATAAAAATCGACTTCTCACTTTTCAACTATCTCATTATTTGACATTTTGTGTTTATGACAATAGTAAAAAGTATGTTGTTGTTGTTAGGTGCTGTCAAGTCAGCTCTGACTCATAGTGACCCTGTGTACAACAGAATGAACACTGCCCAGTCCTGTGCCATCCTCACAATCCTTGCTTTGCTTGAGCCCACTGTTGCAGCCACTTGTATCAATCCATCTCATTGAGAGTCTTCCCCTTATTCTCCGACCCTCTACTTTACCAAGCATGATATTCTTCTCCAGGAAATGGACGCTGGTACATTATCTAACTATTTTGCACACTAACAATATATGTCTAGCACTGGTACACCATCCGACCTGCAGCCTATACAACTATGAGACCAGAAGAACTAGATGGTGCCCGGCTACCACTGCATCCACTTGGAAGTGGATCTATGTAGGAGATCCTTGATACAGAGGGAGAACAATGTGGAACAAAACTCAAAATCATTTGGAACAGAAAAAAAAAAGGGGGGGGGACCAGGTTTGCTGGTCCGATAGAGCCTGGGAGACTATGGCCCCTAGCTGTCCTTCAGGTCTGGAATTGAACCCACACCTGTGGTCTCCAGCCAAACAAAATACAGGCATATGAGTTAAACATTTACCTCAAGTAGATACACTCCTTGGAGAGAACAATCATGGGAGAAAGAAGGGCTGCTTATGCACAGGGAGACAGCTCAG